TAGAGTAGGTGCTTGCCAAGGCTCTGGTTTGGGAAATGAGAATCGTGGGACAAAGGCTGCAAACTTTCAGTTAGAAGGTGAATAATTTCTGGGGACCTGATCTGAGGTAATTAATGTTCATGGAACGATAGCTTAAAATATGTCATTATATACTTAATTTGCTAAAAGAGTCTAAATATATACAAGGTGATAGGTGTTTTTATTAATATGATTGTCATAGTCATTTCACAATATATAAATGATCTTTTTGTATATCTTAAATATACAGAATTTGTTATTTGTACCTCAACAAAGCTAGAAAAATAAAGTGAGCATTTTTAATTCAACCTGACATTTTCAGCTTTCTAACTGGAACATTGAGATAATTCACCTTGAATACTGTTATTGGTTTAGCATTTTGGTATTTATTTCTAATTTATTGCATCTCTCCCTTTTCTTTTTTCCTGTTCTCTTGTGCACTGTTTTTGTTCCCTTTTCATCTTTTTTTTTTTTTTTGCTTATAAACTAAAACTCAGTTGCAATTGACTTTTTAATTCTTTTTTTTTTTTTTGCAGTTCTGGGGTTTGCGCTTAAGACCTTGCACTTGCTAGGCAGTTCCTCTACCCCCTTGAGCCATGCTGCCTGCCCTTAGTGACTGAATTAGAGTTCATAGCACACATCTTTAACTTATTACAGTCTATCTCCACTGCAGTAAAGTATTAAAACGCATGAGAATATATTTCCATTCCTCTTCTCCCAGTTTACATGCTACTGTTGCCACATATTATATATCTCCATATGTTGTAAATACCAAAAAACAGCATTTTTTGCTTTAAAAAACTATATTTTAAGGAAACATTTAAGAAGTAAGACTTACATGTTTACCCACATCTGTAATGTTCATCATTCCCTTCTGTCTGAAGTCATTTTCCTTCACCTGAAGATCTTCCTTTAACAAAGCTAAATAAGAACATAAATTCTTATAGCTTTTGTATGCCCAAAAAGGTCATTTTCATCTCCAAAACTTTAATTTGGATCACTTTTAATCATCTTTGTCTCTCTTTAAAATGCACATGGCTTGGTGAATATGACAGAGTACATTTGAATTGCTGTTTTAGTGTCCTGGTCTGCCATTTCTATCATGTATGTAGTTTCATTTCCTACATGTGCTGATTAGAATCAACAAAGAGGGGCCTTTTTATAACTCTGACATGATCTGTGCAGCTCTCTTATACTGTAGCTGACTATTTCACTTTTGTTTATGAAAGGTAGTTTTTGCTACATGCAGAGTTCCAGGTTGACAGCCTTTCTTCTTTCAATAGTTCAAAGAGGTGTTCCACTGTCTCTTAGTTCACATTGTTGCCAGTGGGAAGTTAGCTGTCATTCTAATCTATTTCTCAAAAATGCACCTTTTTCCTTTGTCTTTTTTTGATTTTCTCTTCAAACAATTAACAACAATAAGCCTTAATGTCATTTGCTTCTTGTTTCTTATGTTGTGTTTGATGTGTAGTTTTCATCAAATTTGGAAAAATTTCAGACATTATTTCTTTAATTATTCTCAGCTCTCCATTTTGTACCCTTTCTTTCAAGTGCCCTGGTGAGACCTACTTAATATTACACAGCACTTGTTTTTATCTTTCCATCTTTTCTCTTTGTGATTTCTTTTCTATAGTTTCTGTCACTATGTTTTCAGTTTCACTAATATTTTCTTCTTCTGCAATGCTCAGTCTGCTGTTAGCCTCATCCTATGTATTTTTTTTTTTCATTTCACATGTTGTCATTTTCATCTCCAGAACTTCAGTTTGGATCACTTTTAATTTTCTGTGTCTCTCTTTAAAATGCACATGCCTTGGTGAATATAACAGACTACATTTGAATTGCTGTTTTAGTGTCCTGGTCTGCCATTTCTATCATCTATATAGTTTTGTTTCTTGCATGTGCTGATTAGAACTCAACTAAGAGGAGCCTTTTTATAACTCTCAAGTGATCTGTGCAGCTTTCTTCTACTGTAGCTGAGTTGGTCTACTCAAATTTATTGACTCTTTCTCCCCAACTCATGGGACTGATCATTCTTGCTATGCTTCCCCCTCCCTGCACTAGAACCTGGAAGCATCTTCCAGTTATTGTTTGATCATTTATGGGGCTTACCTCATTTCTATCTCCCCACTCAAGGAGTACTGCCCTGCATTGCCTATTGCCCAATGTCTGAAAACAGCAGTTTCCTGCAATATGCCAGTTTTTAAATTGCTTATGTTGGAAGGCAAAAATACAGTTCCTGTTACCCAAACTTGGATGAAAGCAAAAATCTTAGATTGGGTTTTCTAAAACATAGTCTAATGGGAAAATCATTAAAAATGTTTAAGAAGGAAATCAACAAGTTGGATTTGAATTTTAGAAGTTCACATCAGATCATGAGTGAAAGATCCCAATAAAGGACCCTGGGGAAACAATTGGAGCACATTTCCAAAGTAAATCTTGGTGAAGTCTGAGTAGCTGTGGAAAAGTGGATCCTTCTGACTCTTCCTCCAAGGGCACCTCCATCCATGAGATTCTGAAGGTGGCAGGCCAAGGGTGCATTTCTAATGCAGAGGGATAGGGAACCATAACCCCTGTGTCTCCATGAGTACAGAGTCAGTCCCTGGATCCCAAAAATGGCCCACTAGAAATCTAACTTTTCTATTCACCTATAGACCAAGAATATTAATCATTTTTATCGTGGACTGGCTCCCAGAAAAATGTGCTGACAACCTGAGTTCATGCTCACACTAGATACAAGGCCTTGGGCACAATGCCTGACCTTTAACCTTCAACCCTCTCATTTACTAAATTTAAATGATATGGTTGTGAGACTATAGTGTTCTTCCCCACTAGAAAGCCCTTCAATTGTCATTATGTTTAAAATATTGCTACTCTTCTTTCTAACACAGGTGCATCTGGGTCCAGAAGAGGATCAGAGGTCACAGGAAAGTCTTTTCTCCAAGAGATCCCCATTTATGTCAAAAGAGGACATTCAGATAATTTTTCTTCTGGAACACAGCACCAATTTCCACAATGCACAAACAAGGCCTGCCAAGACTACCTGGCCTGTTACATTGTCTGGATCCAGCTGACAGGCCAGAATACCATACTAGGCATAAAGTGTCCTAATTCAACTACTTGCTTATTGTGAGACCTTGGGCAAATCACATTCTCCCTGGGTCATCATTCCTCTATTTGTATAACTATAGGAAGTCTAGAACCATTCCCCTAGCATAATAAGATCTCTGAACTTAGTTGGTAAAATCTTGCAAGCTTACAGAGAGAAAGAACAATTTACTTACAAAGGTAAAAGAATCAGACCAGCATTAAGTCAGAAGTAGAATGGTACCTACAGATCATTGAGAGTAAAGACCTATACCTCAGAATCCTGCCCTACCTGATAAAAGTCACTACCAGGGAGAACAAACGGTACTTACAGATTTAATAATGAGGACTTAATCAGCCATGTATCCCTCTGTCTTCAGAAAATGCTCTAAAAGACAGTGAAAGCATCAAATTACAAAATAGTGCATTGAAAAATCAAAATCTAGATGCACCCTTAAAGCCAGGTGAGGGGTGCCAAAATGCAGGGCTGGTGGAGTGGCTCAAGTGGTAAAGTGCCTGCCTAGCAAGCGTGATGCTCTGAGTTCAAACCCCAGTGCTGACAAAAAAAAAAAAAAGAACAAAAAATCTTTTTTTTTTATTTTATTATTCATATGTGCATACAAGGCTTGGGTCATTTCTCCCACAAAAAATCTTTATGTCACTTCAGTTATTATAGACCATATAGACCATAAAAATATAGATATTTCTGCATTAATTTAACAGCCATCATTAACATATTACACCAAAAAGTAGGTCAACCTCACAATAATGTGGATGCAAAAAAATCTAAAAATGTTTTAGCAAATATGTATGAAAATCCATCAAATATGACATGTCTGAACTGAATAATACTAACTAAGTGGGATTTATCATGGCAAATAAGGAAGGAAGGCTATAACATCAGAAACTAGCTACCTGATTCACTACACCAACAAGTTAAAAAAGTGACATAATCATATCAGATGATAAAGCAATATAGAACCAAGAAATTACTACTAATAAAAATTCTAAATTAGTAATGAAGCTGTTAAAATATTTAAAACATAGCCAAAAAGTTGTCAAATATCATTCTAATGAAGAAATGATGAAGTCATTGTAATTAAAAGCAGGAACAAAATTGGGCATGATGTTAGTATTTCACCCTTATTGTTCTAGAGGATCTGTTGAATGCAGTAACTCCAGAAGAACAGGTATTTTTATAAATACTGGGAGATATTTTCATTTTTTCCAAAATATATGATTACATATCTTCAAAACTCAAGAATTTTTAGTCCACATTTAACAAAATTTGCTATGGTTGTTGATGTACTAACCAGAAATATTTTTTAAAACAATAGACTTTTCTCTATGCCAATTAAAAATGGAATGGGTAGAAAATATTCCATTCTCATAAGTAAAATTTTGCAAGATACTTAGGGGACTATAACAGCTAGAAGAAAAATCAAGGTCTCCAGGCTCTAGCCCCAATAGAATTTTATTCAATAAAACCTCATATTTGGGTCACATTGGAGAGCCATATCTCCATGAATTTGTCTTTATTCATTCTGTTCTTCCTGTAATCCTTTTCCATCTGCTAAGTTCTTTGTCCTTGAAAAACTAGCCCAGAGCTTATCTCTTCTGATTTCTTCTTCTAAGTCTGCTAGACTAATTCCCAAGAGAGGAGAGGAAAGACTGAGAGGAAGAGGTAGAGGGAAGGAGAAAAGAGGAGGAAGTCAGGGAAGCTAGGAAGAGTAGTGGGAAGGAAAAATGAACCTCACTAAACAAATTCGATGGAGGATCCTGCTGGAGCCAGGTGTGAAGTGAAGGCCTTGCACTCCTAGCCTCATTCCCTTTTGCCTGCCCTACCCCTCACCTGTCCCGGGATCTAAACCCATGGTGGCTTTTCTGTACAATTTCAGACTTGGACATCAAGGACGCAATTGCCCTGGAGTCTGCTCCGCGACCAATGGCATTCCGTCGACAAAGCATGGCCATTGACCCCATGGTGCAGGACAGTATGTTTGGCAACCGCAGAGTGACCCTCATGAGAGACTGGGCGAGCAAGACACCTGACAGCACTTACGAGCGCAAGCTGAAGAGCCTCATGGAGAAGAACACAGAGCCCAAGATGGAGAATGTGAAGATGCTGAAGCCAGAGGAGGTTCTGAGCTGCCGGTGAGCAGCTGCCGGGTGGGCTGCGGATCCTGGAGAGTGGGCTCTGGCCACTGCTGTCTCTGGTCAGACACCTGGAATTCTAGGCAGCATGCCTGAGCCCTGTCCCCAAGGCCCAAAGGACTGTTCCACCTGGAGACACTGGCTTCTAACAGTCTCCTTGCCCATGGACCACCTCCTCCATTATGTGCCAGCTAGGTGCTGCCAGCTGAAGCCATCCCTCCAACCTTCCCATTTGCTTCACAAATATGCAAAAATAATACGGCCTAAGAACTTTACACTGGCGCTGAATTGCACCACCTCCATGACTATCTACTACATGTTTGGGGTTTTAGACTCCCAAGGGGACATGAACAAAGGGTCCCCTTGCTTGCTTATTCTTCATCTTACTTACCAGGACTTGCTGGTTTTACAGCCTGGTTCCCCCACACCAAAAAAAAAAAAAAAAAAAAAAAAAGTTCAAGGCTGCCTCTCCTTAAGCCCAGCGTTAGCCTTTCCTGTAAAGACGTAACTGTCAATGTTGAAAACCTTCAGCTGAAGGGGATGTGAGACAAGAGAATCATATGGCCGTCCTTGTAAAGCTGGCAACAATACACTCATCAGTAGGCTTAAGATGGCCTCAAAGGTCTGGAAGCCACTGACCATGCCACAAGATCTGCTCTGTTCTCTGCTGGCTAAAGGGTAAGTGAGTGGCATGGTTAGCTGGCTAACAGGTGAAGAGTCAGAGACCCCCACTGGTTGTCCTCATGGGTGGTTCCAGCAGGTGAGTCCATGGTTGGATGACTTTGACTATGGCTTTCAGATGGACAAGGTAGCTCTAACGGGCTCTGGCCACAGACAGCCTTCCTAGCCTCTGTGGTGGGGAGAAAAGAGATTTGGATGGGACTCTTAACTCTTCAAGGAGGCCAAAAGGATATTTGAAGAGATGGAAGCTAGGGAGCCATTAGAAAAACACCCAAGAAAGCTGGGCGCCAATGGCCCACACATGTTATCCTAGATACTTGGGAGGCTAAGATCAGGAGGATCATGGCTCAAGCCCAGCCCTGGCAAATAGTTTGTGAGACCTCATCTCCAAAATAACCATAGCAAAATGGACTGGAGGCTTGGCTCAAGTGGTAGAGTGCCTGCTGTGCAAGAATGAAACCCTGAGTTCAAACCCCAATCCTACACATACACAACAACAACAAAAAAAAAAATCCAAGAAAAGGTTGAAACAGTCCAGAATGGGATCTTAAGGAACGGCACAGATACGAATGTGCGAAGCCATCCCAGGTTGGGAAGCTCAAGGAGAAAGGGGAAGGAACCATATTTTGAGCTGCCAGGGAAAGGGCTGTCCAGATGGGGGACTGGCGAGGGCATCCGAGCTGGCCATGAGAACAAATAAAGCTCTGGGAATACCTTGAAGAAGGTAAGCTGGAAAACCAGGTTCCATCAATGTGCAGCTCCTCCCCATCTGTAGCAAGCATCCAAACAGCAGGTGGCCTGGTAGGGGACCTTACCCCTTAGACTAAAGCTGGGATCAAGTAGCTAGGTGTGGTGGGGCACAGCTGTAATTCCAACACACAGGAGGATCACAAGTTCTAGGCCAGCCTGAGCTATGTAGTGTGGCCCTGGTCTCTAAATAAATAAATCTGGGACCAAGGCTGAGGATGCTGGTGGAATAAGGACCTCTCTGGCCAGATAGCGATCACATAGTACATTCTGTCCTTCAGCAAATGTCAGAATGACGGGGCTTTACAAGACATTTTAAAACAATGTTCTATTTTAATTATTTGAATACTATTAAAAGAAAATTTGCATTTATATTCCTAAAACTGCTCAGCCATTTTCCCTGCTGTTCTGTTTTTTCTCCTGTCCTTGGCCTCTCTGGATTATGTGCACATGACAGCGATGACACCAACTTACATTCTAGCTTTCTCCCCACTTGGCTTCATGTGACAACCACGTTGCACCTTCTTCCTAATGCCATTTTAATTATGGCATTTTAATTAAGAGTCCTCAAAATGGAATAGCCCATTCCTCTGTTGATGGAATAGCTCATTTTCCCGTTGTTGGTAATCCCCAAAGTTATTATATAACTTTTCTTTCCTCTGACTTCTGTTCTTGATCTAAGTTGAGAAGAGGCAGGGAGGGGAGTTACTGAGTCAAAGATAATGAGCCTTTTTTCTTTGGAGGGGGACAAGAAGTAGTGCCTGGCACACTGACTTCCCAAAGAGTTATGGCAATGGAAACCCCCAGCACCCCTGTCCATGTGGGATGTCCCTCTGTCAGTTCACAAATGCAGGACAGACAGGCCCCTGGGAAGGTCCTTTGCTACTCAAAGCCACCCTTGCTGACCTGTGGCCTTTTCTCGCACAGATACCTGAGGCTGTCCAAAAACAACATTCGTACCCTGCTGAAGCTGTGCAAAGACGCGGGGCTGGACGTGGACATCCACCCCCACATGGTGGAGGCGGAGATAGACTCTAAGAAGGTGTTTGCCCGCCAACAGAGAATAGCCCTCTGAGAACTGCTCTCCACCACCTCCTTTGGGGTCCCTCTGCCACCAGAGGCCGTCCTATAGCTCACTGCAACTGGCCCTCCAGACAGTGCATCTCTTAGCCATAGATCAGGAAACACGCCCAGAATGCATGGAGCCTTGGCCTGGTGTCTGTCAGCTCTGTCATCAGCACCAGGTGTGTCAGCCTCAGAAAAACTGGGGTGTCCTCCTTCTCAAAAGAGGAGGCCTTTAGAAAATCATTGCTAGAAATGAGTGAGAAAATGGGACTCTGGTTCCCCACAGGGACTTCAGGAAGGACAAGAGGTAAACATGCAGGGCTTGGCTTCATGAGCTGGCCCTCTTGGATAGAGAAAGTGGGTGACAGGAGCCTTGGTCAGCGTAGGGGAGCAAGGGGACCTTTGAGTGCTCACAACCAGGGCTCCCCACCGTTGAGCTGGGAGACTTTGGAGCTGGTAGGGTTCTCGATACCAGAAAACCAGAAACTATGATTCAGGACCTTTCCCAGAGTCACACAGACAATGATAAAGGCTATGCCCTCTTGCATGACAGAGATTACAGGCAAATCCTGCAGGACCATTCAGAGAAATGACTTCCCATCCTGGCACCCCTGCTGATTGAGGCTACAAACCCAGGCCCTCCTAGTCCCAACAAACAATTTAAGTAAGGTTGAATCCCACCTGCCCCACTTCCTAGCTGTGTGACTTTAAGCAAGGTCTTTACCTCTCTGTGCCTTTATTTCTCATCTGTAAAATGGTGCTAATAACAGCATCAGCTGAGCAGGGACGTTGTGATGAGTAAATCAGAGTTTGCAGGTGACACAGAAAGCACAGGTCCTTGGCACCTCCATAATGACGTGAACTGTGGCCCCAGTTGTCAGAGTGGATAAAGGAGCTCACTTCCCAATGCTGTGATCCCAGGAAGGATCCACAAATCGGCCACACATGTCCACACCGAATTAAGCCCTGTTGAAAAGCTGCTCATAAACCCGAACCCTGCTTGGTCCCTGAGTCCCAAAGAGCTGGGGCATAGCCACTGCTCCAGCCGGACCTAGTAACCTGGCTGTACCCTCTAACTCTAAGTACTGTGGTGGCTGTGGTTTGCCTTCCATGTGCACTTTCAGTGCCCCTGCCCCATGCCGAGGTCCTAAAGCAACCCCTGGAAGGACTGCCTGGGAGTCATCACCCGTGATGACTGGAGGCTGCCAGGCCCACACCTACTCACCCCACCCTGACCCATCTAGAGGCACAGTCACCTCTAAGGAGAGTCAGGGTCTATTGGAGGAGCAAGCAGGTCAAGGACGTGAACACCAGAGCCCAGAACCATAACCACCCCAGAATATCAAGGAACCAGTTGAAAATGACTGAGTGACACTCCTCTCCAGCAAATGCTGGTCCCTTTGGGAGAAGCAATGCTTCAGAAAAAGGAAAGGAAACATATTTTCTGAGCATTACTGTATTAGTCTGTTTTCTGTTGCTATAACAAAATGTGCAAGGCTGGATAACTTGTGAAGAAAAGAGGCTTATTCGGTTCACAGTTTTGGAAGCTGAAAGTCTAAGTAGCACAGCCCTGGCTCTGGTGGTGGCCGCATCACATCATGTGAGAACATGGGGAAGGAGCTGTCACATGACAAGACAAGAAGCCAAGAGTGGGGTGGGGCCAGCCTTCTCAGTGGCACTAACCAGGGTCCCTAATTCTTGCAGAGAGAAGCTCTGCAGTGACTTCCACTAGGCTTTCCCTCTTAACTGTCCCACTACCTCTCACATGGCTGTACTGGAGACCAACCTGCCAACACATGAACCTTGGGAGATACACTCGAGCCACATCTATACCACACCACCGAGTGTCACTATTACCTCATCCAAAAGCCAAACCTCACATCACTTCCATGGGGGACCCTCTAATCCCCTCTGTCCTGAGCAGTGCCCTTGCCTTCAGGAAGTTCTTCAGCCTGGCTAATCTGTCCCCTTCTTGCTGCAGTTACAGCCTGTGTTCTCTCACTGAAGCCACTATAGAAGGGGGAGAAGTCAGTTTTCATTGTTTAGTAAATATTTATATTCAGACAGGGCAATTGACAGAGGAACAAATTAAATAAGAGATAAAATGGCCCTAAAATTTAAGTGTCAGAAATATTAACCACAGCTATGTAATACGACAGTGGCTATTCAGCCTTTCCATCGCCAGACTTGTTTTCTCCCATAATTTTTATCATACCATCCAGTTTATTATCTCTCCGGTGTCGTTACTACATCTGCCTGTAAAATGAAGGAGTGAAGATGGGCTGGCCCACGCCTCTCACAAGACAGGAGGCCAGAGGATGAGCTCCTTTCTTGTAATAAGTACTCGCTCCAAAATAACACAGATTTTATTTATTCATTCCGTTTCTTTCCCTCCACCGATGGTGTCAGATGGCTGGTGTCATATTCTCCTTGTGGTCCACCAAGACCCCTGGGTCCTTCCCTGCAGAGCTGGGTTGCACGTCAGCCCCCTTCTAGTGGGATGCGGTGCACCCAGAGCCATGTGAGGGACACAGGGAGAGGAAGTTCGGCCTGCCTGATGTCAGGGGTGAGCCAGGGCCCATCATCCCTGCCCCAATTCTCCTCCCGTAGAGAAGAGGGTCAGGGTGGTAGGTGGCAAGAGGATGTTGTGATTCCAACACTCCATTTTCCTGCCTGCCAAGGGTTTATTGTCCCAAGGACAGAGGAGCAACCTGTGTGGCACGCTAACCCAGTAAGGGGAACCCCACGCCATGGGAAAGCCCGGGTTGGGGGAGAAGCTTCTGGAGAAGCAAGAAGCTGCTAATGAAAGTGTCCATGGATAGATAAGAGGACCAGGATCTCTGTGGGACAAATAAGAGGACCAGGACCTCTGTGAGAGGGAATGGCAGGCAAGGGATCAGTATGTGCAAAGCTCAGAGGCCAGGGATGGGCAGCCTATCAGGCAGACTGCAGAGGCCAGGGATGGGCAGACTGCAGTTCATTCTGGATGGAGTGGACAATAGGCAAAAAGGGCAGTAGAGAGATGCTGGGTGTGAAGGGTTTGCAAGCCATACTGCAAAGGTGCTTTTCCTTTGCAGTTGTCATTTATTCATTTTGCAAATATTTGTAGCGCACCTATTATGTGCCAGAAACTGTTATAATGACTGCAGATTCAGAAGTGAGTGAAAATACACATTATTGCTTTCATAGCCTTTGCAATTCAATTGGGAGACAGGTAACATGCATCTCAACAAATATTTCAGCAAGTAACATGAAAAGAAAATCAGGGCAGAGTGAGGGAAAAAGGGTAGGCAGAGGGGAGGGAGGACAGTGTTAGATGAGTGGTCAGAGCCAGCCTTTCTCGGGAAATAGCTGAGCTCATACTTGAAAGATGAACAGGTGGCCCATGTGCACACCTAGGAGAGTCCATGAAGCAGAGAGGAAGAAAGACCAGAGGCAGGACTTTAGGTGGCGGGACTTTAGGAAGATCAGTATGACAGAAGCAGCTGGAGATGGAAGAGTCAGGGAGGAGGCCAAATGACGTGAGCTTCAGGCTGGAGTTTGTGTTTCATTCTAATGGCAGCAGGAAAGCACGCTGAATGGTAACCAGTGGAGGGGAGACCCCTCTGGTGTCCCAGAGGAAAAATATTCTGAGAGGGGAAGGGAATGTCTAGAGATTAGTTAAGCAATTTATATCAGTTAGCTACAGCTGTGTAACAAATTACCCCTTAACACAGTTTTGAAGCACGATTTCTTACAAGTCTGCAGATCCATCAAGATGTTAAACTGATTGTGGCACTGCTCTGTTGACTTAACATGGGCTCGTGTTTGTGGTCAGCCATGGTTAGTTGGGGGTGGGCTGGCCTGGGATGGCCCTGCCTGGGATAGCTTTCTCTGCTCCAGCAGCACATTCCTCTAACAGGTGTGCCTGGGGTTGTGCTGCTGGTGGTGACTGTCCAAGTATCCAAGTGTCCAAGGCCTGGTACCTAGGCTCACAATTGGTACACTATCACATTTGCCTCATCCTGCCTGTAGTTGCAAGAGCAAGTTCCAAGTTCAGTAAGTCTCAAGGAAATAAACAGTAGTCAGAGGACGACAGCACAGCAAAGTCGTGTGACAAAGGGTCTGGGTCAGTGAGGAATGAGGACTGTGGCAATGAACAAGAGAGAGGGGAGTCAGAGGCTTAAAACCGGCTGTCACATTAGGAGCAAGTAATTGAGAATAGACTTTGGAAGCAGAGCTGAAAGTTTGTCACTCGATGGAATGTAAGCACAAGAGAGGAAATCAAGGTGTTGCCAGAGTCATGCTGACCCCAGAACCTCTAGGGGTGACTCTCCATGGACTCTTCCTGTGCCCCAGGAACATACGTTTTGGGAGATACAATCCAACCTATAACAGAGGAAGATCAAAGGTGAGGAGTTGGAGGCGCAGAGGCAAACAGTCCCCCGAGTTCCTCAAACTCATGGCAGAACTGTCACTGGAAGCACGTCTGCTGCCCTACTTGACCTGGTCCAGCCACACCCTGCCTCCTCTACTGTCTACCTGTGTCCAAAGCACCAGAGCTGAGCCCCAGACTGATGGTGCCATGAGACGGACCCACCCCTCGGTCCCTCCGCCCAACACCAGAGCCAGGGCCACTGGGGGATTCTCCCCTGAGCCCCCAATCCCCTACTGGCTTAGTCAGCAACATGCAGATCCTTTTCACAAAGTAATTTTAGCTGATGTCCAGCCTCAGGCCCTGATGAGCTGAGCGCTACAACCTCAAGGGACTTTTGGCGCCTCCAGACCTTCAAAGTGGGAACAGCAGCAGGAAACCACCATTCAGACCCCTATGCACCTGCTGAGCCCAGTGGCAGATTTCCTGGGGCTCTATATAGACTGGAAGAAGAAAGGCAGACTCTCTGCTTGTGACTGTTGGGGCCACTGAGGGGCACCATCCCAGGACCCAGAGAGTTTCCACGCATGAATCCCCAGGCACTAGGGGCCTCTCCTTCAGCTTCCTGACAGTCTGGCCAAAAAGCCCACCATGAG